AGTCTAAGGAGGCCTAGAAACCAGGGATAACAGTAATACTCCACAGGGTGATTTAAGGCATCCTGTGAATGGTGTCCTCAGGCTTTGGCCGTGCACAGACTAGTCAGCTTCTGGTGTGACTAGACAGGACTGTTGTCTGCTGGTGATGTCTCCAAGGTCAGGTTGAGCCTTGAGGTCTTCCATCTGAGTCAAGTCCTGAGGGAATCCTTGGGGTCCAGGTGTGCAGTCCAGGTGTCTGAGACCTCTGTGCTGTGGGCCTTTTTCACTTGGGTATGATGGATCCACAAGGTGACACCTGCAACTTTGACAGCAGTGGGGGTAGCAAGCACAACAGTATAAGGCCCTAGCCTTTTTTTTTTTTTTTTTTTTTTTTTCCAGTCTTTAACTCAAACTGAACCTCCTGGCTGAAAGGGATGTGCTGGATTTCCCATAGGGATGGGGTTCTCTCTCAAATAGTTTTGTTGACCTGTGAAAATACTTTGCCTAATGTTTGTAACTCTAAGGCTACATAACTATCTCCTAGCTGTCTAACGTCTCTCCTAAGATATCTATGACGGGGAGGTCTCCCAAACATTATCTCACGTGGGGAATAACCTGAAGGTCCAGGTATGCACCTCACTCTGAGCAGGGCAGAGGTAACATGCCTGGCCACTCTGTTTCTTCACAATGCTTAGCCAAGATGGTTTTAAGGGTTTGATTTCTGCATTCTACTCTCCCTGAACTTTGTGGCAAACAGGCTGCATTCAGATTCCATTTAATCTTTAGCCTTCAGAGAGGCTTTGGACAGCTTCAGACACAAAGGCAGGTCCACTGTCGCTTCCAGTTGACAAAGGGAGTCCATATCGGGAATTTCTCCTAGGAGGGGCTGAACAACTTCCTGGGCTTTTTCTGTCCTGGTTGGTTTGGTTTCAACCCATCCAGAATAGGTGCAGGCTATGACCAACAGGTATTTGCGTCTAAAACTAGGTTTCATTTCCAAAAATCTATTTGCAAGTCTTCAAATGGTGACGTTCCTGTATCCTGAATTCCTGGAGGTGGCAGTGGTCTCTGGAGATGATTGTTACAGGCTCAGGTCTTACATCTTTGCCAGAGCACTGTGAGATGGAATAAAGATTCTGGTATCTGGCAAGGCTTAGAGGCACTTTGTATTTTCAATGATGCACTGTTTGAATGTCTAATACTCTTCCTATCTTATTTTTAAATGTGTACAAGAGCTATTTTGGCAACGGGCTTATGGATCACTTCCTTTGCATCTTCACATGGCTTTTTTTTTTTTTTTTTTGTACTGGGGATTGAACTTGGACCCTTGCGCTTGCAAGCAGGTGGTGGAAACACTGAGCCAAACCCTTGGCCTAACATGGCTTTTTAAAACAAAACTGAACCACTGTGACCTAAAAATAAAATATGTAAGAAGTCAAAACCACATTTTAAATTGCACCCACACTCAAGGTGATCCTCCCGCCTCAGCTTCCTGAGTGCTGGGATTATAGGCATGCACATCATGCCCAAATAGATTGTTCTACATTTATCTTGTCTTTGCTACATGTGAGCTCCTTGTAAGTCCAAGAAATTCACCTTGAGGCCATCAATCTATTGTAAATGATTTCCTTGTTTGCTGGTTGCCTCCTGACTCTGTGGACTTCTCTTCCTTCCTGAGGATTTAAATGTTTATATAGTTGAGTTGATCTAGTTTCCCTTTATGACTTCTGGGATTTGAGTCCTTCTTAGAAACAAATTCAGCTTCCAAAACAGTAAGTAAACTCACTCCTGCTCTTATCTAAGTGTTTCTTGACTTCATTTTCTTACGCTAACATCTTTATCTGGCAGATTTCTGGGGAGACAGCAGAGTGGGTAGGGAATCCAACTTTATTGATTTTTCCAGAGGCCTGGCCAGTTTTCTAAGCACCAGATATGTTTAGAAAAATCCCTTTTTTCTCCTGCTGACTTAAAATAAATAGCCCTGTGATCAGAGCCTAACCTCTCAGATGCACGAAGCTCTTGTTCTAGACATTTTATCTTGCTGTTCAGTCAGCCTATTTCTTCTTTTGTGTGAATCAATTCTCTTTGTATCAACAGCTCACAGTCCATTTCACTGTCTACCTGCAGGGCTAATCTGCCCATGTTAACTTTCATTTCCTTGGATGTTAAGTGCAGTCTCAGAAACTGTAGATTTTAAATAGTTTGCTTATAACATTAACAGGTGATCTGGGGAAAACCCAGCCACTTACGAGTCAAAGATGAGAAATGTGGCTCATGTTGAATCACTGCTGTCTTCTAACAGCCCAGCAACCTTCCCTCCTGAATGTCAAAGGTCACCATTTACAACAGGAAAATCCTCTCCTGCGGCTGCTGGTGGTAGAGATGTGTTCACCCTCACCCAGGACCACACAGTGCCAGCAAGTCCACCTCTGACCTTAAACTGATGCATGCTTGCAAAATGTGACTCGAGCTGGGCGTGGTGCTGCACACCTGTAGCACTTGGGAGGCTGAGGCAGGAGGATCGCTGTGAGTTCAAGGCCAGCCTGGGCTACATAATGAGTTCGAATCCAGCCTAAACTATATAGTGAGAACCTGTCTCAAAAATCCCAAAATAAAATAAAATACATAAGGCTCCGGTGCGGCTCAGTGGGAGAGCACCTGCCTGGCACCTGTGAAGACCCTGGTTGGCTCTTGATCCACCCCTCTCCCTGCAGCGTGCTGGTCACCTCGCTCCTCATCAGGCGCTGCCTGCACCAGGCAGTGGAAGTTCCCGTCCCCAGACGTCCCCCACTTCAGGCCACACTTTCCTAGTAGCCAGGTGTGGCTGTCACCACGGAAGGCTATGAACACACCTTGATCACACTCCTCCCACTGTGCAGGTGGAAGGGCCACCAGATCCCCCCACTAGCCAGCCCTGGGCCCTACTCATTCCTGGCCTCTGACCCTGAACACCCCTGGCATCTCCGCATCTCCCTCCCTGAAGGAGCCCTGACCTTCACCCCTAAGGCTACTCCCTTGTCCCCAAGTCTCAAGCATCTCCCTACAACTGGGGTCTATGTGTGTATCAGAATTCTCAGGAAAAACTGTTTAAGTTGCCGATGTCCAGGCACAACCCCTGAGAGATCCTGACTCCACAGGTGGGACCATGCAATGGCCTTTTTAATAGAGGTTCCAGGTGACTTACAGGTGACCACTGTAATTCCGGAACTCCCAGGAGAGGAGGAGCTTGGACAGAAGAAACTGACTTTCAACTTGAAGACCTCAAGCAGAGTGTGGGTGGCACAGGTCTGCAATCCAAGCAGTTAGGAGGCTGAGGCAGGAGGATTGCTACAAGTTGCAGGCCAGTCTGGGCTACATAGTAAGTTCAAGGCCAGCCTGAACTATATAGTGAGACCCTGTCTCACAACAAAACAAAACAAAAAGGTAAAGACCTCAGCCTCTGCCTAACAGGGTGAATAGGAGGAAAGGAAGGATTTTTCATTTTCCGCCTTTTGGGTTGTTTTTTTTTTTTTACTTTTCTGTTTTGAGACAGGGTCTCACTGTATAGTCCAGGCTGGCCTTGAACTCATGGTGATCCTCCTGCCTCAGCCTCCTGAGTGCTGGGATTACAGGCAGGTACTACCACACCCGGCTCCAACTGTTTTTAAAAACTGCACTTTCCAGTAATCCATATCACTGGTCACTTATCCTCGAAATGTCTCAAAACCCTGAGACCTGTGCAAAATCCTCTTTCAATTGTGGAGGCCCAAACAGATGCTGGAGACATCTTCTCTCACAGGAAGGTATCAATCCTTCCAACTCCGGGAGTCCAGGGTGCACTGCTAGTGGGGGGCCTCCCCCAAATTCAGTCCACACAGTCTCCACCTAGAAAAGACACTGACAAGATCATTTGCTGAGCTTTATTTTACACATTGACATTCACGTTTACGGGTCATGGGGTCACCAAGACTAAGACCTGTGCCATCAGGGACAGGACTGCTGCGGGCTTCCGTCACCTCACATGTCCACTTCCCGCCGAGGGTTTGTTCCGCACACACCCAAGGAAACCCTTGAGACACACAGGGAGGAGGGACCAGGAGCAGAGACTGTTCTTCTGCTCTGTCTCTAGTCAGCCCCACCCAGAATTTGGAAATTGAATCATCACAGGGAGTGTGTCTTACAGTTGAATCAGAACCAGCATCAAACGACTGTTCACGTTGCTTTCATCACAAAAACTGAAGTCAGAAAAGAGACCACGGAGGCTAAAACTCTAGGGCAGTAAAGCATTAGTGTCGTGTGCCAGGCTGACACATGAACCTGCTGCCTGTCACACAGCTGAAGAATCACAGCAGGACAAGGGCGTGTGGGTTAGGAGCGGAAGCCCCCTTCAGAGGGTCGCCTCACAGAACATGCCCAACTGCCTCTGCTTCTCCCCTTCCTCAAAGTCATGTTTATGGGAAATTTAATTATAGGCAAGGGATAGCAGAAACAACTAGTTCCAGACCCGGACGTGAACCAATAACCCTAGAAACACAAGGTAATGCTCTAAATGGTTCTCAGCGTGACTGACTTGGACTGTAACATATCGGAGCAGCCATTTTTCACACTTCAAAACATATGAACAAATAGATTCGGGTTACATCTGTGGAGATGCCTTGGAACTCCCCAGGATACAGTCTGGACTTGGGGACACTGTCCCCTCCCCGACACACTCACATCTCACACACGCACACACGTGCACACACACACAGGACAGTATTGTGGTCGATTTACTGTGTCCAAATCCAGAGGGCACAAACTGACACCCACGTTGTAAAGGATTTTTCTTTCCCTTTCTACTATAACGTGAAAAGGGGCCTTCAGCCTCAAAAACAGTGAGTTTGGTGGCACTAGATGGAATTAGAGCCAAGAATCTAGAAAAATCCAAGATTTCATGTCCAACTACCTTCTTCTTTTTTTGTTTTTGTTTTTTTGTTTTTGAGACAGGGTCTCACTATGTGGTTGAGACTGACCTGGAACTCACTACGTAGCCCAGGCTGGTCTCGAACTCACAGCGATCCTCCTGCCTCAGCCTCCCGAGTGCTGGGATTACAGGTGTGTGCCACCTCGCTCGGATCCAATTATCTTCTTCCCCACAGGCTTCCTGAGAAGGCGTCACCCCAAAAGGGGATCCAACTGCCATTTTCATTAACAGACCCTGAAACTACTCATTCAAGTACGAGGCAGACATTCATTTTTTCCAGAACTTTTAGGACCTAAGCTTCCAGCGGGACAACTGAAGGACCGAAGTCAGGACTGAAGGAACAAGACCACCACGCCTGCAGGGAAGATCTAGGCTTAACTAACCCACTGGGGAGGCACAAGGAGGCTGGAAGGAAGCAAGTGGCCGCCCTGTTCTTCAAACAGCAGGCCCTGAAGGTCAGGAGACTGTGGAGAAAGGCTGACAATGGGGAACGTTCTAGAATTTTCCCAGGCCACTTCCCAACTCTCCCGCCTCTGAGGCTGAGGTGAGGAGGAGACCTGGCAGAGAAAAAGGCAGAGACACCTCCCCTCCCCACTCTCACCGCACGCATACACACCGTCTCCTACCATTGACCTCTGTGCCACAGCCCTACACGCTGGGTCCCTCAGAGTCCACACTCTTGGCCCATGTGACAGCAAGCGAAACCTTTGCTCCCAGCTTGGGGCTTCTTCCTTGGTCTTCCTTCACTCCTGCGGTGGTCCTTGCAATCAGAGCTTTCTGGAATCTGTGGATAAATCACAACAGCTCACTAGGGAAAGCAGGGAAAGGTGTCACTAGGAAAGTTTTACTTCCTAGGACCTTCTGAGGCCTTGAACATCCTGTCCGCCACCATGGCCCTCAGAAACCTTCACCCCCAAAGCCATGACTTTGACACATTATAACCCCAACCCGTTCAACTCTTAGGGTGGGAAGGGTGTAGGGAGGAAGGGGTGGCAGAGAGACCGAGACAGTTACCCATAGACCACAGCTCACCGGGTTTGCTCTGCTGCCTCCCGGGTCCCCAGCAATGGCCATCAGGACGGAGGCCAGGTCTCACCCTCTAAACCTCACCTGGAATGTCACCCACTCCCCCCAACCCATGTCCTTGTCACCACCTGACCTCCCTCCAGGGCTCCTCCGCCCCACCAGCACTCTTGGGCTTCCCCCAACTCCAGTCACTTCTGCCATCGCTCTCACCCTTGGAGGCCCTAGCAGAGCCTGCAGGCTTGGCCTTCGGACCCCTGGACGTCGAGGCTGGCACCGCAGCGGGGTTCGGGCCACACAGGACCTTCTCAGCCGACGCACCCCTTCTGGAGTTTAGCCCTTTCTTCGGCATCATCGGCTTTTTCTTGGCATCTTCACAATGGACAAGGACATAGGAGACAGGGCCCAGGCTCACCTTCTTCTTCTTCCTCACCGGGGTGAGGCTCTTTCCCGAGGCCCAGCCCTCAGCCTTCTTCTTTGGCGGCCTCCCCTGACCACCATCTTGGTCTGACGCAGAGGCGCCTCCAGGGCTCTCAGCTCCCCCCAGGGCATCCTGAGGGGGCTGTCTGGGAACCTTCCAGGCCCTTGTCTCCACTCGCTTCTTCGGAGCCTGTTCCTCCTGCCTCGCACAGGGCTTCCTGTGGCTCCTGTGGTTCTCTGAGATCTCTATACTTTCACCAGCCTCAGGCCCCTCTGAGCAGGCCGAGCCGCTGCAAGGGCTGCCTTTGGGTTTTTTCCAGAGCATTGGTTGCTGCTTGGGGTTTTTCTTCTGCTTCTTTTTCCTGGAGCGAGTCTCAGCTCCAGTCCTACGAACAACCGGCTCGGGAGGGTCACCCTGGTCTCCCATGCCCTTCCAGCGGGTGGACGTCTCCCTCTTGCAGGCAGAGCCCATCTCCGTGGAAAGGCCCGGCTCCTTCTTGATCTTCCCTGCTGCCAAAGCCCACGCTGCTCCCTCCTCCGCCTCAGCGGCCTCCTGAGCTCGAGCTTCCTCCCCGCTGCGGATCTCAGCATCCATGCACAAGACGACCTGCACCACAGCTCCCAGGAGCACCCCCAAGGCTTCCGCCCAGTTCTCCAAGATCTGGTCTGGACTTTGGGGGGCTGGGGCGTGGCTCAGTTGGAGGAGGTGGACCACATCTTCCCAGGTGCGCCCCTCCGCCTCCAGGAATTCATTCAAGTTTTTCAAAAACTCAGCATCCTGGGTGGGATCCCTACAGACTACCTTCCAGACGCCACCCCTTCCGGGGAACTCTCGGGGTACGGCGCTCAGGTTCACACCCTCGCCCACCTCGATGAGGGCCGCTTTGACATTCTCTTCCCTCAAAAATATCTTGTTGAGCACGCGGTATGTGCCCAGGGGGGCGAGGACCCCGTTCAAATTCTCCTCGAGCTCCGCCTGGCCGCAGTCCTCGGGGATGCCCGTGACCAGCAGGGACCTGCGGATGTCCACTTCCATCCCCCGGCACCAGTCCTCCAGGAGGTTCATCGCTGTGGCCCCCGACATCGGGCAGCAGAAGACCGAGGAGGGGGACGCGAGCTGCAGCGGGGCCCGGACAGGAGTCCCGGTGGGCACCTGAGGTCGGCGTCCCCGGAGGCCTCGCCTGCCCAGCGCC